CCAAAAGACGTAAGGACAGATTTTCAAAGCGGGAACCGCCCACCCACTGGCCTCAGAAAAGCCAGGGTACAATTTAAGTCGTGGAAGCACTTGCTTCGGACGAGAAACGTTACCTTTGCCGCAGAATTGCACATTGCTTAATATGAATTTGAGGTATTGTGGTATATTCAGTGGTCGGTCATCATGAAACTAAACAGCTCTATCAACTTCACATGGAAATTACAGAAAACTACACTAGCTCAATCGTTACATAGGACAATTTCGTTTAGTAAACCGCTGTGCGACATGGTGTGACCCGAAACGTTGGAGAAATTGCATAGAGTAAACTCCTTCGGTAATTGAAATATAACCCCGATGTTCTTTGGGACCTTTCGATACCGCCGATATCGATATCACATTAAAAATAACGACACCTGAGTAAAACGGCGAGAATGCATAGTGTAAAGGAAGAAAAATCCATTTCTCACTTTGCACCTGCAGTACAAGGGCACCGCTCCTTTGCTTCTAGACGTCTAAGGGGCCATTTGTGCAGGGCACGGCTGCATTTAACTTAAGCGCCTGCGGACATGGGATGCAGGACCGCATCTCATACTGGAGCTGAACAAAAGTATATTCAACTAAGAATGCCATCTGTTGGAACGGAGGAAAAAATTCAACCCCGATGTTCCTGGAACTTTCCGATACCGCCACTGAAGATATCACATTACAAGTAGTATAATACTGTTCCAGATATTTTTATTAAAATATACCGTGAACTGCGGCAAACTCAGCCGCAGCCGACACGAAGCTTTGGCCTTGATGAAATGAAGAGTGCGGAAAGTGTGGGCATTCATTAAGAATGCTCTAACGCCTTCCTGACATTCAGAGTTGCTGTTACTGCTGTTGCTTAGTAATCGTCATCTGAGGCTATCGCAGATCAGTAGCAGAATAGCTAAAGATCATATATCTGACCTTTAGAAATAGTATTACAGACCGTCATTACGTAACACCCAATATTTAATCAAAGAGATGTTAGATTCCAAGGGTTCCAAAAGATTATTAACATCACGTGAGAGAAACTCTGGATCAGTGGCAGGAAGACCCGAAAAGGTTTGTTAGATCAACGCGATAAAAAGGTTCACAATACAAAAGCCTGTAGCAAAATCATGGAGAGAACACCAGCGATCGAAACTGGCTGATGATTACGGTCATGAATGTTCACTGTGTCCGCAAAGGTGATATTCTTCGTTACGAGCAAATCCATCCAGTGTTACATGTGTCCAAAACCCATACTGTCGTCCGGCGCGTCTGCGGCTAGTGTAGTATTATCTAGCAAAAAATGCTTTAAATATTTCTATTATTTTTCAAGCCGTCTGATTAAATCAAACGATGCACGAGTCTCCGAGTTCATCTGACAGTTTCTCAGACTGATAGCCATCAATAACTATTTGTTTTTGACCTAGTGGTACAATCCTATTGGCACTTCGCAGAGAGTATTCGCGATACTGAGAGTTGCATTACCTCGGTATGAGTCGACACACAGCTTCACCACCTCTTTACAGTAACTATCCTTACAGACCCTCGACTGCAGTTCAATTCAACTAGTCAGTCGTAAGAGTGAACCGCATGCAAGCATTCGAAAAATATCGCGCGGTCCTAATTTCTTGCTTAAGTTATAATATTGATTAGCGTATCACATTTGCTTTACAACTACGTCCACGTCTAATGCAATATGATTTATTCATGTTTAGTATGTCTATCTTCTTTTGTTTACTCACAATAGCCAAAGTGTTGTGGTTTCGTCACGAGAAGACAAACACAATGCGCAGGATTGCATAACAAAGCGAGGACCGTGGAATGTATGCTCCTGAACTCAAAAGTGGTCAGCTAGTAAGAAGGTGAAAACGTGTAAGAAGGTTGTTCGCATGTTTTAACACAGTCTACCTAAACAAGAATACTCTGTTTACAAACCTGGACGAAAAGCTTGACGGGTTGCCTATGCCTTAATAATTCTAAAGCAAAGAACGATGAAGTTCCATCTGTTCTTTGAACGAAAAATTATGACGTATTCATTAGAGAAATAACGCCTATGTTCAGATGTTGCTGTTGCTACTGTTTGTCCTGAAGACGGCCAACGTACCCTGGCTGAAACGTGGGCAGTTGAAATAAAGACTACCATCAGCCGGTTTCCTTATGTCTAAAATCATTTAAGTGAATTTATGAAAGACGAGGAAGACAGCAATCATTCATCGTGGTATTAATTTAGATTGATTAATATATTCGAAACTTGTCATATAATGAATATTTTAAAGACAACTTGGTTTTCAAAAATTTTTAGGTTCAACCCTAATTATTGACGCAGCTCGGTGTCCGCACTACGCTTCATAAATTGAATATCTATGCTGAGCTTATATACAGGTGACGTGATCAGTCATTCGTGTATCGGTGCATCGGTTTCAGATTAATAGCATCGACGTTCAACAACGTTCTAAGGAAGTTTCAGGTGGCAAATACCGTATTCTTAGATACTTGAACTGAAGTGCCAGTTGGAAATGTAAAAAGCAAGGTTACTGCCAAATTAATCGTTGCTACGTGTTCGTACTTTGAATGAGTGTTGCGAGTCATGTACTGAAAAAGTTTGCAGGAGTATCGGCTATTCGGTTGGACGAATTTTCAGAGGTGTCATACTTGGGAATGGTACCTCCTGGTTGAGGGTCGAAAGGATGGCCGGCCACGGGAGGATGCGGGCCACGGTTCCGAGTTCCCAAGTTTCGCAGCGCCTTTCTGGCGCATGCTACGTTGCTCCCTGTCGCGACACCTCATGCAAAAAGGCTCATCGTCGGTCAGTCGCCATGACACGGGGTCACGTTCAAAGTGGTGGAACGTGTTCGTGCCATAAAAATGCAATTAGAACGTCGCTTAATTTCCTCGAGCGAAAAATGATCATTAGCCGCGTCATCGCCAAAGTGGGTTATGGAAAGGAAGCCGCGCTACGGGTGTCGACGCCGCCCCGCGTTGCAGTTGAGGTCAAGAGAGACGAGATGCGCTCACACGTCACCGGCATGCATCCAAGGGTTTAAACCAGGTTAGGGAGTCGCCGCCAGGCCCGTTGTAGGTGCCCGTGCCCCGCAATGAGTCCAGTAACAAAAGCAGTTACACGATTTCGACCGTCACGCTGGCAGAAAGCACTGGCTCTGGTCGGCAGGTCTAAGACGAGACCTCAGAACCCCGCCATAGGCGATGGCCAATGACAAGACCGTTGCCCCAAATCGTCACCATTGACGACGCAGAAGATGACAACCGCACAAAATAACTTCGTCGTTGGCGCTGTTTCATAAACTAGGTTGGAGGTTGACACCTGAACCAATTTTCGCCCATAAAAGCCACCGTACGCCCTCCATCGGAAACGTACCAGTTGAGTGGGCCGGTGAACGTTTGACGACGACACCATGGACGACGAGAAAATGTCTCCAGAGCACATACGCATGCGGAGGGTGGCCTTCGTCGGCGTTGTCGTTAGCACGGTTGCAGTCATGAGCTCGGTGATCACGCTGCCGATCATCTACAACTGCATCCAGAACCTGCAGACGCACATGATGAACGAGGTGGATTTCTGCAAAAGCAGGTCGAAGGACATGTGGGCAGAAATATTCATCATACAGGCCAGCAAGCCGGTCAGCCGCCAGCGCAGAGAGTGGCTGTTCGGACAGTGGGTCAGCAATAACGGCGGCGGTAGTTCATCTGGCAGTGTGGGTAGCACCTCCTACGGCTCTCCGAATCAGCCCGGCGGTGCTGAGACGCCCTACCCGTCACAACCACCGGTTCCATACTACCAGCAAGCCCCTCCGCAGAACAATCCGTACGGACCGTCGATTTCAATTTCTGAGCCTGGCCCAACGGCTTTGCCGGCAATGAAAATCGTCGAAGAATGTAATTCACCTATAAATGGTCGGTGATGAACAACCACCAAAAATTGCATTTTAGGTTGTACCTGTCATCAAGGAAAACCCGGACCTCCCGGACCACCTGGTGAAGACGGCAAAGATGGCAAAAATGGATTGCCTGGTTCTGATGGACGTGCAGGCAAGGACGGCAAAATTCTGAAACCGGTGGGTCCGCCCCCAGAACAGTGTCAGATTTGCATACCAGGACCACCGGGACCAATTGGTTCACCAGGATCGCGAGGACCACCTGGTATGAAAGGAATCCCTGGTGCTGCTGGTAAGGATGGAAAACGTGGACCCGCAGGAATGGCTGGTGCTCAAGGACCTCAAGGACCGAGCGGAGATTGCGGTCCAAAGGGATATCCTGGAGACAGTGGAAAACGAATAGAAGTAATGTTACAACTATTAATATGCTACGACAATATTCTACGAACACTTTATAGGTCCCTGGCAAACCTGGTCCACCGGGAATTGTTGGAGTACCTGGAGTCAAAGGACCAAGAGGCCAACCGGGTAAGAATGGCTTGCCAGGCTTGAAAGGTCCACCTGGCGACCAAGGAGATCAAGGCATGCCTGGAGAACCGGGTAAACAAGGAATTGCCGGACCTCAAGGAAACAGAGGATCTTCAGGTCAACCAGGAAGCTGCGATCATTGTCCTATACCTCGAACGGCGCCTGGTTATTAAATCGATTCTATGTTTATATTAATTGAATGATTCTGCATATAACGTACTGGGAAGTTGGATCTTGAATTTCGAAGAACCTCGCAGTGCGTTACTGTACGTAGTCACTGTAAGGAAGTAAAGTTGTCACGCCTATTTGCAATGCACTTAAATCACATGACGTCAACATGGCGAAACAATATGCCATAGATTTAAGGCTGAGAATCTTTTGTTCATAATGAACGTATTTACTTTTCTGTGCAACGCAGACTTGTCAAGTATTCCAACTGCACTTGCAAACATTCAAATGAGACAGATCTGCCTGCGGCGAAGCATATGACCCTTGCTACAGCAGTGAACGTCGATTAATAATGATCAGAAACACTATTCTCAATCGTCATACATCATAATACTGGACTACACATTGCTCAAGCTATGTTATTCGTTAATGATGTAACAGCAGCAGTCAAATGACAGTTTTCGCACAAATATACTATAGCCTGCCTCAACACAGTGTCACCAAATTATAGGTATTTTGGCAAAAAAAATTTAAATAAATATATCGTGAGGGTAGACACGACATCGGAAATGGCAATACCAAGAACAGCATTTATCTGATCCTTTTCCGTAATAAACGTGATCACAACTACACACGCTCGTCTGTCTCCTATGATTGTCCCCCGCAAGCTTCCTCATTATTTTTTCAGTTCATCATCCGATTTGAACCGAATTATTCTAATTTGGCGCCTTGGTACCGATCCACCACTACTGAAGCCCATCGGTCATTCTTCAGTCCTGCAATACTGTCAGCCGCAATTCAGCTGGGAAAGTACGCAGGAGACTCGGCCATTTTGGTTTGCGTATTTCATTTCTTTCGATCTTGGCAACACTTATGAATCGTCTTGGAGAAAAGTGCGTTTGCCATTCACCATGTCCATGTCGAATGAGGTTCCAAGTGACGGTTCTGTGAGGCATAATCTCTTCAGAGTTTTCCTCGGTACGCTGTGACTCAGCTACCTCTTACAATTTCTTTATTCCGGTGGATGCTACTTTCTTTCTATTCTCAAAAAGGGACAATCATCCATCTGACCTAGCTCAGTTCAACTGTCGACTTCGTAAACGAGTCATTATCCCCCTTTTTAAACGCATATGACGCCGTGAAAGGCAATTTTGCCGCATTTCGTTGGATTTCAATACGAAGTTGGAGCCCCCCCCCACATTTCTACCGATTTCCATCTCGATTTGTACTCTACCTCTCTTGTGTTATAGCGAAGTGTTTCAAACAAAACAAGGAGCTCCACCAATCCTGATTGCCATTATTTCGTTAGCTGATTAACCATGATGCCAATGTTGCAATACAGTGAACGCAAGAGTCAACGAGTGAGACTTCCCTAAAATAAACTTCACGAAAAACGGCTTAGTGATTACCAAAAGTGCGAGACAGCTCGTGAAGATAAGCAGGTACATGGTAGAGTTTATTGGTATCCCAGAATATCAAAATGCAGTAGATTTCCAAGAGATTGCAAGGCTTCTTTTCGTTTCACGGATGGCGGATAAACGTCGGGCAGTCAAGGCTCTTATATGTGCTGTGACGTAAAATTAGGTAATTGTTTATGGGACGCTAATTGATTTTCATGCAATCAGCCAGGAGTGCCTTATTTTTGAGTGCAGAGTGCGACAAACATAGTTTGTAGTTTTTTGTTTCCCTACCACAGTGATACTCATTTATCGATCTTTGAAGGAAGGTATGACAAAAAGTACATATTTTCCTTGCAACTCCGTCAAAGAGGTTACCACGTGCCCACTTGCCATTCATTGTCATCCGCAAAATAGATAGTAGTGGAGAATGTGTCAACGAGCTGAGAGGTTGATGGGTCGATAGCCAAAGGATGACAACATCAATTCACAGAAAT